GGGGGGTCACCACAACATGAGGAAGTGTATTGAAGGGTTGCGGCATTAGGAAGGTTGAGAACCGCTGCTCCAGGCAATGACATTTGAACTATTTGGCCTTTACATTATCAGCCCACCACTTAACCCATTACACCAAAAGAGCTACAATATATCTTTATGTAAATACAGTTTTATTAGAACACAATCTTGCTCACTCATTTAAGTGTTGTCTATGTCTGCTTTTATACTACAATGGCAGAATTAAATAGTTATGTTACAGACTGTATGCCCTCAAAGCCTAAAATATTTACTCTCTGGTGCTTTTTAGAAAAAAAGCTGAATGACCCCTGAACTAAATTATTAACAAGATAATATATAACCAAAAGTTCCTTTCAAAATTCTGTTTATAGTCTTTTCATAAGAATCTATGAAAATGGAGCAAATACATGAATAAGTTTATAATTTTAAGTGTGACTTAAATAGCTCTAATTTATGAACAGATGCATGTCCATATAGGAAGATCATACCTGTTTCAAATTAAAACACAGAAACTGACATTCAGAAATTTCATGCAGGGGTCATTCATATTTTTGAAAAAGCTTTTATGTCTTCCTTTTCAATGTCTGACAAGTATATATAAGTAATATTTATATCTAGATTATTTATAATGAAAAATTAATAATTCAGCAGGGTGCCATGAATCTGGCCTATTTGATATAAAACAGTAATGACTGACAGTTAAGTACTAAGGTTTCTCACCATTACAAACTGAGTTTATGGGCTTACATTTCTCATCATCTCAACTTTGAATTTGGAAACTCTGGTATGTCAAGGGACAAATAGATTCCTTTATCTATATATTCATTGTGACCTGAATTATGCACTGTTTCTCTATATCACCTATACGGACTTAATGTTTTATCATGTTTATAACTAATTTTATGATTATTATTTTGTCATTTATGTATCTACAGTATAATCTGTTATATTCTTTTGATAACAAAGGTGTGTATTAATTAGCTAAATGGCCCAGAGTTTCTAGAATATACTTTTAATGTACATGTAGAACCATAGAAAAAAATAATGTAATTAAAATATATTATTATGAAACAAAATCAATTGAATTTTCATTGTGAAAGAGAAGCTACAAAAAAAAAAGAAAGAGAAGCTACAGTTTTCAGATCACTACATTGTGCTGTGGCTACATGTTCTATTTTAATACTAATATGGTAACCCTAGAAGTGAAGAAATTTAGATGAAATATAAATGAAATTTTAGAATCAACTAAACGTATAAACAATGGAAAAAGTAAACAATGGTATATTACTTAGCACTATCAATTCTATTTTATGAAGAAACAAGAAATAAGGTTGTATTAAAATCCCATCACTAAAGCAAGAGTTGAAAGTTTCATCCATTTTGAAATTTTTGTAACATTTTAGGGTCATTTAATAAAAGGGATAGACAGGAAATTAAACAAAGAAATTTCTTTTCAAATATTTTTGACAGGCTTGGAAATTATCCGTGTAGGACTGTATTATTAAATCTTACCATTCTGTTATGATGTTAGATGCTTTCACTTTATTCAGCTCTTCTTGAATGGCTTGTTTGGCTCTTATTTCTGCATCTAGAGCTGACTGCAACTCCAGTCTTGCTGACATATCCAGTTTTGCAAATCGACGCATCTTCCAAGGCATATCCTGTGGAATAGTACGGCAATGTTTTTAGCTCCTTGCCATTTTATTTTTAACATTAAAAATTTATTAATCTAAGTGAATTTGGGAGCTGTCCAAATGCATTCTCTAACAACAACAACAAAACAATGAAAATATTTCTTGTGAAAATAAAATTATTTCTCACTAAATTTAGAATTAATTGTAAGCATATATATAAAAGAGTTCATTTTCCTATCACGTTACCAACAATGGGCATCCAGGCAAATTATAGTTAGGTATATGTGCTTAATGTTTTCCTAACCTGGAAAAAAACATTTTAGAGGCTCAGACCTCCAACTGGTTTCTCATGGAAAAGTTTACAGCAGGCCGAAGCTCAGAAAAACTAACTTAAGTAATCAGATTTATCTGGGTTTTTTTAAGGCATCTTTTTCTAATCTAACATGCCGCTATGCAAAGTGGCAGAGCTTACTGTTGCCCGTGTACCCAAGCTGGAATTTCTTAATGCTTCCAATTCTTCCGTCATTTTAGAGGCCAAGGCCTGAAGATAACCTCGCGCATCCTTTTCATCACTGACCCTAAAATGCACATATAAAGACAAAGCACACAAGTTAACCAGAAAACACTCTAATGAGATATTATTTTTAAAGCTTCACATAGGCATAAATGACTAGTGATAGAAACAAAGATTTTAAAAAAATCTTTCCCCAAAACTTTATTATCTATCTGTCAACAGGTAGCAAGAGTCTAAACACATCACGGTGGTGACTCATTGCCATCGAGTTGATTCAGACCCAGAGACCCCGCAGGCAGACTACAACTTCCCCATAGGGGTTCTAAGGCTGTAATCTTTAAAGCCGGTTGTCACATCTTTCTCCCATGTAGTGGTCAGTGGCTTCACACTATCAACCTTTTGGTTATCAGCCAAGTACTTTTACCACTGTATCAGTGGGGCTTCTCATAGTTCTCTAGTTCTAAGTGAACTAGAGTTATCTTCAAATTAAAGCTAGCAATGCTTTTCCTGGAAATTATATTCTGCCATTTGACTTTATGAAAGTTTAACACATCCATCATAAAACTGATTAAGTTTAGAAAGTTTAGTCTAAAATGGAATGATTTGCCAATATTCAGCTTTTATGGTAATGAATATATAAATGTTTTCTAAAATGACTAATAAAATATTAGTCAAAAAAGATTAATGTCTACTAAAATTCAGTTTCTAATTTACTCTTTTAAGACTATCTAGTTGATGCACCTACTAGGACTTTTGATATAAACTTTTCACATGATATTCACTGAAACAACAAAGTTCACATTTTAGAATTTCTCAAGAGCATGTTTGCATTTGCGACACCTCCTCCACAATATGAAAGGATGGGGTGAGTGTGAGTGAGGACTAAAAACAGGATATGAATACTTACAAAAGAAGCTCTATTCTCAAAAAACAAAAACCTTTGGCATACTAAAGCCATAATTATACAAATAAAAATGGAATTGAACTTTGCAATGCTCAGAAGTGTGTGTTAAACTACTTTGGGGAAGATGATTTGCTTTGAGCAGGCTGGTTGCCGCAGTGCTTTGTTCCTGTTAGGTGCAGCAAGTTGGGGTCTGAGTACTGCTTCCCTGAGCACTACTGCGAATCCAAGCAAGATGAAATTCTTGACAATTTCAATCTTCTCTCCAGTTATCATGATGTTACCCATTGGTCCAGTTGTGAGGATTTGGTCTTCTTTATATTGAACTGTAATCCACAATGAACACTACATTCCTTGATCTTCACTAGCAAGTATGACAAGTCCTCCTCACTTTCAGCAAACAAGGTTGTATCATCTACATATCACGGTTATTAATAAACCTTCCCCCAATCTGATGTGTTCTTCATATAGTCCAGCATTTCAGATCATTTGTTTAGCATACAGATTGAGTAAGCATGGCAAAAAGATACAACCCTGATGCACACTTTTCCTGATTTTTAAACCATGCCTGGTTTTAGCATCTTAAAATTTTAAATCTTTAGATTTAAAAAATATATAGCTATCCAAGAGATTCTTTAATGGGGGGATGAAGCATTCAGATGGGAAAGTATTTTGGAGTTACAATCAAAATAACACACGAGGGGGTACCCCCACATCCCCCAAATGGGAAAAAGCTCCGATGGGCGGAGCTTTCATAGTACACACTTTTCTTACTAGGTGAGCATCCAGCAACTCACTCTGAGTTAGTGCAATCAGTGGCATCACCTGGGAAGGTTCTCTCTGGTCACAGTGAGATTTTTTTCGTAAAAGCAGTTTAGCTCGAATCTTGTTTTTTTTTTGTGTTGGCTGATTTAAGAGACCAGCGTGCAGCTATGAAATTCTGGTTCCTGCTCGGGAAAAATGCTGCAAAAACATCTGTGATGTTGAACACCGCTTACAAGGACAGTGCTATGGAAACAACTAAAGTGTACAAGTGCTTTTCTCATTTCAAAAAAGGTGAAATGTCAATTGATGATCAACCTTGTTCTGGACATCTGTCAACTTCCTGACTGGATGAAAATGTTGACTCAGTGCATTTGGAGTTTGTTCCACCAGGTCAGACTGTTAATTAAGCTTTCTATTTAGAGGTTCTGAAAAGATTGCATAACAGTGTGCGACAAAAAGGGCCTGATATGTGGCAGATGGGGGACTGGTTTTGCCACTATGACAATTCAGTTATTCACACAGCCACCTCAGTGCTCCAGTTTTTGGCAAAAAACAAACAAACCCCAGCATGCCTTTCTTGCCTCATGCACCTAACTCACCTGACCTCACTATGTGCAACTTCTTTTTGTTTCTGGGAATGAAGAGGGACATAAAAAGATAATGATTTGACAATATAGAAAAAGTGAAGAAAAAATAAAGGGGGGTGGGTGCTGTCAGCCACCCAAACAGATGAGTTTGAAAAATGTTTTCAAGAATGGAATCATAGAGTTGACAAACATATTAAGTGTAATGGAAAGTACTTTGAAGGTGATATGGTTGTCTTTTAAAATAAATTAAATACATAGTTAAAAAAATTGTGTTTTGGGGGTGGTGGTGTTTAACCCCTTGTATTTTTAGACATAAAGTAAATGTACCCGACACCACGTTTGAATAGTCAGTTAAGAATCAGGCTAACTTAGAGGTCAGCATTTCAAACCCACAGGTGCTAAGAGAAAGATGAGACAGTCTGTCCCCTGAATGGGTGTTATACATTTAAACAGACTGGGCAGCAGGGGGTGTGTATATGCACACTGCCTTTTAAAGAAAAGGAATGTAGAAAAACTCTATGTTACGGTTTTTGAGTGTTGGAGAAGGCTGTTTCCTTCTAAAATTCTTTAGCTTTGGATACCATGTAACTACAACTTTTTCATTTCATATCTAATCTATCATATGAAAAAATATATAGATGAAGGCTATCTTTCATAGCATATAAAGAAATATATTTACATTGCTAATATGAAGAAAACTATAGTACCATTTAAATGGTCAAAATAAAAGGCCTCAATTAGTGTTGGTTTAGTATCTATCAGAGCTCAGAGCTCTGGTTTATACAAATTTGGGGGAACAGGTGATGCTTACTGTGTTTTATTTACTTTATATACGAAATAACTACTTTTAAATTACTTTTATGTTGGTTGAAATTATGACAATCTACTCAAACCTTGCTTTTCACATGCATGCTGAACACAATCCCATTCCCTCATTACTGCTGTCTTCCCTCCATCTCTAACTTCTGATTTAACACAAGAGTTTTTCCTAACTACAGAATAGTACTGAGGAAAGTAATCTTGCCACTCAATTTAAGTTCTACTGGGCTCTAGAGTTTGTACAATAATTCCTTTTCATCATCACTGCTGTTTCTTTATATCTGACCTCAAAAGTTTCACTTTTAACAGGAGAAAAAAAGGCCTCGTTTTCTGCAGGCCCAACACTATCCCTTATCCTTAGGCCACTTTCAAGTCTTCTCATGCTTATTTGCCTACATTAAAAAATAGTAAGTTTTAAAGGCAGGTCTCTGATCTTTTCTTGGGTTAAACCATTCATATGTAATACAAATACCATGGTTATTATTTCCTACCATTGAGTAGATTCCAACTACTACGAGCTTATGAGACAGAGTAAAACTGGCCCTTTGTGTTTTGAGGCTATACATTTTTAATGGAATAGAAATCTTCATCTTTCTGGCGGGGAGCAGCTAGTGGGTTTGAACTGCTGACCTTGCAGTTAGCAGTCCAACACTACACCACTGAAAGTTATTATTACTTCATACAAATAATTTTTTTCATTATTACATCTTATATCATCATTTCCACTGTTTTCTTTGAACTTGAACAGCCCTTTCCTAACTAGCTCCCAAAAATATTCCATATCCCAGCTGCCTCAACCCCAACATTCTATTTATTTCCCTTTCCCTTCATTGTTAACAAAATCCATGTGGTACAACTGTTATTCTACTCAGCTTATAACCAAAAGTTTGGAAAGTTCAAGTGCAACCAGAATCACCTTGAAGTAAAGAATCGTTGCCCAACTTTGGAAAATTAGTCACATGATACCCTATGGAGCAGTGTTACTTTGACATACAAGTAACACTGGCATCAGTCTGAATAGACTGATGGTAACTGGTAGTTTCATTGTTTATATGTTTTTATAGCTAATTGCTCTAGTTTCTAGCTCTTCAGGTACTCCAGTATACTTTTTGAAGTTTTATTTCTGTCTCAACTTATAGTCATTAATCCAGAGAAAGTTGAGGCTTTCTCTTCCCCTACGGAGTCACCGTCTCAGAAACCCACAGGGGCAGTTCTACTCTACCTTACAGCGTCATTCTGAATGGGAATGGACTCGATGGGAATGTTCTATTTTCATTCAAATAACTGCTCAATTACAAAAGACAATTTTAGATCATTTTGTTACTTTTGGCATAACTAATCTCTTCTCATCTTAAAAAAATAAATCACGAATAACTTATTAAATACAGAAAGATATATAAACATGATTATGTTAGTCTAGGTTGACTAGAGAAACAAATTCATAGACACTCAGGTGTATAAGAAAGAGCTTTATATAAAAGAACAATTGTGTATTGAGAAAACATCCCAGCATTGTCCAGATCAAGTCCTTAAGTGTGATGTTAGCCCATATGTCCATTACTAGTCCATAAATTTTTCTTTAGACTCACGCAGCACATGCAATGATGCTGAATACAGGAAGATCACAGGCCAGTGGGTAGAAGGTCTTCTTGATCCAGTGAAAGTAGAAGCATCTCAATGCTGGTTGCAGGTTTCCATGTATCTCCTCCAGCTCTGAGTTTCTCAACAGCAGGAAAGGGAAGGCAGAGAGTGTGTCCTGCCTCCAGGGAGGAAGACTGGAGTTTCCGGAAACCTCAGGAGAAGCCATGCCCACACAGAGACCTCATTGGCTATGATCTGATTGACAGACTAGACTGTAGCCCTTTGCTCATGTTGACAGTAGATTATGTAACTCCCACAATGATCTTTGTACAATTGGGGATATAGAATATACACATAAGATTCTTTTTTTCTTTTTTTTTAGCACGTAAGGTTCTTGAGTCAAATACACCTGGGTTCATATCTTAGCTCCACTGCTTACCATCTTTGTGATTTTGGGTTATCAATCACAGAGGTGAAATAAAATTACTTGGTATATTTATTCTATCCAGTCTTTAGTAAAAGGCAAAATATTTATACAACTTGAAGAGAAACCAGAGTATTCTATCCAGTCTTTATAACTCCCACCGAATGACTAGGTGATGTGTGCAAGTAATCTGAAGAGGACTCTAACTAGAGGATTGGTCAGTTTTGCCATTCTTCTGGGTATAAAGTGAACCACCTCAGAAGCAAGATGAGAGAATATCCTATGAACACCAAGAAAGTAGAACCAGGAGTGGGGCATGTCTGATCTTTTGCATGGAAAGGTGGCAGAGGTGCTGCAGCCAAAGACCTTGAGACAGAGTGGTAGCTTCTCATCTCACAGAACAGGTAAAATTGAGTGCCTTTGGACTTTCAGAGTGGAGTGTCCTTTTCAACACTTGCCTTTTTTACAAAGGAGGATTTTTTTTTTTTAACACTTGCCTGAGCAGGGCAAAAGCAAAGAGAAAGTGTAGCTGAGTACCAGGACCAGAGAGTCTGTGGTGTTGAGAACGGCTGCTTCAGACAAAAGCACTGTATCATTAGCATTTCTGATGCTGAGCTGTAGCTTATTAATTTTCCTAATAAGCCTCATAACGGTGAGCATTGTCTGTGAATTGTGTGGCCAGTGCAGTGAGTTATTGAATCCAGAGAATTATATTGCCATGGAGGGATGATTGGCGTCAAAATAGGGTAAGAAAGTTGGAGGGTAGAAGCATATCTGATCTCTGCCTCATGGAACCTGGCGTTAGGCTGAGGGGCAGTTGGTTTCTCTTTCCCCCTAGTGTCACCAGAAGAGATCAGACACGGTTCCCAGGTTATTTCTTCATTAACCCTCTCTAACTCTCCATTTTCTCACCTGTGAAGTGAGGCTGCTAATAACAACTACTCACAAGACCGCTTATCAAGTAAATGAGAACATGTAAATATTTAGACTAATAACTGGAATATTCTGTTTCAATAAACATAATACACAAACTAAGACTACTAAGTGAGAAGTGCTTGTAATAATGTGGAACGATTGGAATAATCCCATGCCTCTGGTGAGCCAAAGGTTAAAACGAAAGTCCTTGCTCTAAAATATTTTCCTATGAAAGAAATATTTCATAAGAAAAAGGCAGAGTGGATAGAGTAAGAGGCATAATTGCTGGAGCAGTGAATTGTTTAATGAGGCTCTTCTAGCCAAAGTGTCCCATCAATTGACTTTCTCTGCATGGTAGTCTAGATCAGTGCTTCTCAGCCTTCCTCATGCCGCGACCCTTTAATACAGTTCCTCATGTGATGCTGACCCCCTAACCATAAAATTAATTTCATTGCTACTTCATAACTGTAATGTTGCTATTGTTATGAATCGGGCGACCCCTGTGAAAGGGTCCTTTGACTCCCAAATGGGTCATGACCCACAGGTTGAGAACGGCTGGTCTAGTAAGAAGACGGAGGAAGATACTGAGAGTATTCACCTGTGACTAATTTTGAACAGGATTCCCTGGAATGCCATCCTGCTGAGGATAAAATGAGCTCTCTAGCTCAGGACGGGGAGCAGGGAAGCAGGGAATCTCATTAATCCCGTGCAGTGAACCGCCTGGATTCAGAAGACTGCGGTAACTTCGGAGGAGAAGGAGCAGACCCAGGAACCAGAGGCAGAGCATGAAATTGAGTGGTAGACTTCCCCACCCATGGAACCAGTAATGCCGAGTGCTTTGGGGCTTACTGAGTGAGGTGCTTCTGGCACTACATTCGGGGAACTGGGTTTGCTGACCCACAGAACTAGAGGTAGAGCTGGGCTGAGGCTTACAGTGGAGTGGTATGCCTCTCTGGGCATTTACTAGCACACCTGAAAGAACTTTGCAACAAGTCCTGATAAACAGCTATCCTTAGCATTTCTCACTGACATTACAACCTACTAACTTCCTTAATAAACTCTTTAATCATAGATTTTATTGGTGGGTTCTGTGTAGCCATTGCAATGGATATTAGAACCCAGAAAGTAAAAGAGAACATTAATTAAGGCAACTCAGTAATGTTAAGTGCATATAAGGTTATGACTACAGTACTGTTTGTTTTGTATTTAATCAATCCTTTTTCAATACAAACATTTAGAGTATTGTATACCACAGTATCTATAGCCTAATTTTGACATTACTTCATTTTGTAATACATGGATATAGTCCAAGTCTTTCTTTTTTTAATTTGTGATCAGCAGGTCAAACCGACCAGCTGCTCCCAGTCCTATACTACCCTATTAGGCTGCTAGCAGGTGAACATGACTTGAGGGCAATGCGTTTCTTTTCCCAGAGCCACTTCCCATTCCATCTAAACCCATCATGCCAGTCACTGGAAAGAAGCTGTCATCTAGGATCTCAGTTTTGCATAATAATAGTTTTGTCTTCAAAAAAGTCCCTTTAATCTGCAATTTAATTTCAAATTTGATTGTATAATAATGGAATTATAAATAAGTAATAAGTTTTATATTTTAAATTTGGATAAATAGCAAAATAATTGTATTTAAGAAGTATAGATTTAATGGCACAGATAGAAATTAAATATTACTGAACCATTAATCATTAAATATTACTGAACCATTTGGAAGTTAATGTCCAAAACGTGAGCATTTTCCTTTAGATATGTACTGTCTAAGGGATAGTCACAAATTCATAAATTGAAGATTCATTAAAATAAGAACTCTCTAGTTAAGCCAATATCAAAATCCTTCAGTCATTTAAGTAAGATTGCTTAAAAAGACAATGATTATTCATTTTTTATTTTATTTAACAAGAACACTGCTAAAATTATATATATATAAATAAAAACAAACTCCCTCCACCTCCCTCTACTGCCATCAAGTTGATTCTGCCTCATAGCAATCCTATGTAGAGTTCCTAGACTGCAAATCTTATAGAAGTTGACAACTTCATTATTCTCCTGCTAACAAGTAAAGAAAATGGTGAAATACTGTAGGAGCCGAAGTATGAGCCCAAGAAACAAAAATTCCCAGCAAGTGTCTGGTCGACACTAATGTGAAGAAACGAGTTGTTTGGATCAGGGCTTAAAGCCGGTTCGAACTGGTTGAGTCAGGGTCAACACAGCAAAACTGAAAGAAATCTGAATGAGCAAATATGGGTGTACCAGAACTATAACCAAAGCGGCAAAAATGATGAGTTGAAGTGCTGGAATGGAAGAACAGTGAGCCCTTTCAGGATCTTGATGCAGTAGATTCAATTACAGTATTACGAAGACTGTAGATGTTTAAACGCATGTTTAAAGAAGTGCCATTGGCCGCCATCTTTGAAAGCCCAGCACCACTGCTTATAACTCTACCACCACGAGATTTAGTTGTTACAGAATGCATACGCTATTCCTTTTTTAAAAAAGTTTCAGGCAAGACCTTGACCTGTTCTGGTGATCATTTTGGTGTAATTGTATAACATTATACCAATGTTATGATGTTGAATTATAATGTTAAAATTTTATAATAGTATAACATTTTTTACATTTGGGTCTGTCCCATTTTGACTTCTTTGACCAATTATGGAATTAGAAAGAACCAATTTGAAGTCTTGGTTCTGATTTAAATTAAAAACCCATGATATGCCAGTAAGAATAAGAGTAAAAAAGTTAAAAAATAAAAATAAAAAGTTAAGCTACTAAGATTAAGATTCTAACAAAAATAGGGTTCCTATAGGACTCTTACTTTTGCTATACTATATACTATAAATATACACAAATTTTTATAAGTCTCAGACTGGTCATTTAATGAATCAATTAGTATGATGGTTACTAAAATAATTATTCTAAATTAAACCCCAATAGCTTAAGGAACAGCTGACAAAAAGAAAACCACAGTGTAACCAGTTAAGGTTTTTAAAACGCTATGTGTGAATCATTCTGTTTCAATTATGAAAGAAGGTAACAGCATAGTCCGCTGTGCTTATTTTTCTGCATGCTTTTTTCTTTAAAATAATTATACATACAGCTGTTTTTAATCTCAAAAAGGAAATCTATAGAAGGTGAATAAGCTTCTTCAGTTCTGTCTGTGTTGAGAACTAAGTTTTTCTATTTGTGCCTTTCTTGCATTTGAAATATCTTCAATGATATACTTGGTTTGAGATTCTTTGCCATAGTCCTTAATAATCACAAAACTGCAACCAACCACTTTCTGGGATTTACCCTCCCTTGTGAATTTTGCAGAGGCCTGCCCACTCCCCTAGTTTTCTGCTGTCATGATCCCCGAGCAGGTTGATTTGGTGTTCAGTACAGGACCTCCACTAACTTGGAGATATATAAGCTCATCAACAAGGGATACAAGCACAGGAAGATGGGTTTGGGGTTTGTCTAAGGCTTTGATAGCTTTGAGAATTCCACATGCTAGGCCACCACGGATGAGGAGCTCCTTCAACATCCCTTGTAAAGTAGTTAATATCCATGACAATTCCAGCAACAATGACTTCTTCCTGGCCATGGCAGTGGGTAAAAATGGTGGTGATAAACCTTGAACACACCAGGACCTTCGCCGATGTACAATTCGGTGGCAACAGGGAAAGGGCTTTTCCTTTCTTAAAGAGCCAACTCTGTCTTAGCACAGGGTATTTTTCTTAGGAAGGATTATCAGCTTTGAATGAAGCTATGTGAAATCAGGAAGAGTTATGTTTCAGAGTTAGGAAATAAGAACAGAACATAAAACACAGTAGAACATAAGACAAAAAGGAATAAAACTGTTGTCAAAATAACTTATTTTTAAAAAACAAAATAAAGAACATGTTAGTAGCTTCCTGGATTTCATGCCGATTTGTTCAGATACCCACAATTACCCAGAAAAACATAGATTTAAAAGAATACTCACCACTGAATTATTTCTGTGATTTGAGCTTCCCAATGTGCAACTGACTCTTTCTTGTCTGCTAAATCTTTTACTTCTTCCTCTAATTGCTGATTGTGCATACTTAAATTCTCATACAAAATGGTAAGCTGAAAGATAGTTTTAAGAAATGTTTGATTTTTAGGATCAGTAATTCAAGGTCTTGGAATCTTTTGTTAAGTCTGATATCTTATCAGCATCCTCTAGAAAATGCATGTCCTTCTAATTTCCTATTAGTGCATTCCCTCTGGTCACTATACTTGAAAACATCAAATATTTTTTCAATATGCCTTCTTACTTCTCTTACTGAGCAGAATAAGTTGGTCCCTTTATGGCCCATTTTTCTTTTGCTTAAAGAAAGAATTCTCTTTTGGTATATTGAAGCCAGGATTGAAAAACCTATAGGGACAGCAAGTAGAATAAGGGGTTCTGGGAGAGGGGGGTGCAGTGCTTGGGAGGGGAAAGGGGTAAATGATGTCAAGGAGTTCATGTAGAAAAAGAATGCTTGAAACTGATTGTGGCAGCAATCGTACAATTCTACTTGATGTGATTGAAGCATGGAATGATATATGTATTAAATCCCATCTAATAAAAATTAAAATAAAGAATTCAATTCTGATGGTGGTAACATCTGTCCCTATTTTTTGTCTAAAAATATCTTGTCAATTTTTAATTTAATATTTTGATTATTCCAGAAATACAGTGTGAGAACTATGTCCATCTGGTCCTGCCACACCTAGGCTAAACACTAAGGGGGTGCAATAGAACAGCAAGAGAATGGAGCAGCAAGGTCCCAAGGGAATGCTGAAGGTGGACTTTGGGGCCAGGACTTGGTACCCTAACAGACTGGACTGGAAAACACTCCTAAAGGCCAACAAACAGTCTTGAACTA